GAGAATTGTTCTCCCAGCAAAACAGATTTTTTTTTCCTAGTAATCTAGTATGACTGCTAGAGAAAATGTGCTTCAAACTTAGTTGTTGAAACAAACTAATCAGTAGTAACAAAATTTGCTTATTAGGCAAGGCTGAAAAGCACTTAGTGGTAAATCTCATTCTCTGAAAAAATATTTACACAATACTGTTTTAAAATGTTGATGATAAATGCCTAACTTTTTATCTTTTCTAGTTAGCTGCTAATATGGAAAACTACGGTGTGAGACTCAACACAATTTGTCCAGGATTTGTCAACACACCAATTCTTCAGTCAATAGATAAAGAAGAGAATATGGGACAATATTATTCATATAAGGATGAGATAAAAAATATGATGCAGTTCTATGGCGTGATGGAGTAAGTCAAGTCAGATGCAGTGGGTTTTTTGCTCTTTGGTAATGAAAAACAAGCACACACAGTTGTCCTTTCAACAAAATTAAAATAAAAGGGAAATGCTGCCTCCGATAAAAGCCTATCAAATGTGTTAACCTATATACAAGGAACAAATAGCAGATATCTAAGGCTATTTTAAGAGTATCACCTACATAGCGATATTTCCTTTTATGCATTCCCATTTCCCAGCAAAGTCCAAATCAAATTCCCAAGTGCATTAGTTTTTAATAGCCCTTGGTGTCCTTCCATGATTTTGTTTAATCAAACTTGCTGTGAGATACAGGGTATATAATTTGTATTAAATCTCCACAAAACTTGCAAGAAGAAATCAGACCAAGGATTGACAAAACCGGAACTTGGTTCACAAGAGCACAGTAGTGACAGATGGATCAGATCAAAGTGCTACCTAGCCCATCATGGTATTGCCAAAAAAGGCCAAAAGCAGACAGCTAGGAAGGAGTGTGAGGACAGGACAAGCACAAAGTGATTTTTATTTTTTTTTAACAGTTTCTCAGTCTCTAACAATTAGCTACACAAAGGAAATTGTGTGAGTGTGTTGTTTCACCCACAGTTTCACCGCAGGTTTTCACATGTAAAATATATTGCAACTATTGACCACAGCAAACTGCATGTGACAAAATTCTCCATACGTATGTCAGTCCTGCTACAGAAACAGAATAAATCAACAGCAAGGAGCTGCAGAGGATTGTGTAAGGATTACTTCTGTCCGCTGCCCTGACAAAGAAAACTTTGATAGAAAGTCCAGTGGCAGCTGGATGTCCACAGGGTTTTAGCAGTAACTAGAACAAACAAATGATGATTCTTAAAGTTGCCACTTTACCTTGTAAGTCCTGACTGAGGAGACAGAATTTCTCTCCTGAAACTCATACCACCTCTGCTTTTCTTTAAAATAAATTTGTTCAAATACCAGATGGTTTAATTTTCACGTTATATAGATTTACACTGAGTTTCTTTACTTGTCCTTTTCACATGTTGTATTACATCACGATTCTGAAATAATAACTTCTTTTTTTCAGCCCATCAATAATTGCTGAGGGACTGATAACAATTATTGAAGATGATACTCTAAATGGAGAAGTTATGAAGATTACAGCATCCCAAGGGATTCATTTTCAACAGTACAGCCAAACGCCTTTTACATCAAAGACATAATTTATGCTAATTATTTTTGGCTTTTTTTAAATATAAAAAAATTTGAAATGAGTAATTTTCGGAAAAAAATGTTAGTGTTGTATCTAGAGCAGTGACAGTGTTCAAACATTCACATCCTAATAACAAAGAGATGGACAAGAAAACCTGATGTGGGAAGACGTTACCGTCCTATTTTGATTCTATAAGCACTAATAATAGTATTTATTCAGTAGAATAAACACACTGCTCCGAAGATTTTTGATTACATAGTAATAAGGGCCAGTTTTTTCCTTCTGGTAGGTTTGATCTACATACTCCAAGCATATTTTGGTGGACCTGACTTAATTTGTATAATTCTTTTCACTGTCATAAGCGTCTACTTTTTACACCTTGAATTCTTCAGACCAGGAATTCAGTTCAGGAATCTAGAACAGAAATATACCTATAAGGAGTTAAGATTTTACTTTTTCTTAAGAAATGTAAAATAGAACAAGAGGAAAAATTCTCTTTCCTCATTTATATATGCAACTGAATATGTTGTAGAACACACAAGAAAGTACAGATTTTTATCTTCTTGGATTTTAGCTATTTATAAAATAGTTCAGAAATATTTTTGTTTTCTTTTATAGTATATATATGCATTTTCTCTCTCTGTATATACAAGGATGAACACTTTGGCATTGATTGAAATGTCTACTTATTAAATCTCATTTTCCAAACATTTTAAAGTAATTTCTTGCATTGATTGATTAAAACCTCAATTAAATCCTGAATAATCTGTTTTTTTCATGTTTTATACATGACCATTTTGGTATCATGACACATATTCTTAGATGGAGCGTGTCATACAGTGGCAATGAAAATAAAAAATAAACTTCCTACCTCCTGAGAGCCACTGGACCTTCTGAATCCAGGTCAATCCCCAGCTACATTTATGAAACAAGCCTTGGTACTCCATGGGTTACATACCTGACAAAAATAAATTTTTACATGGTAATTTATTTAGGCTCATAGCATAAGAAGATTTAATAACTCCTGGGAAAAGACAGTATTTACCTTAGGAGTACCGACTTTAGTTTCACTGATGTAAGCATTGGTTTTTTTCAGCATTGTAACTGAAAGAGGGGAAACACTAATATTTACCTTCTGTGTAAGTCAGGGAGTAATAAGGCTGTGGGGAAAAGAAGCAGACACACACACCTTGAATTACTTATCATTCTCCCCATGTCTCCTTTTTTGGCTATGTTAGCATTATTTTTAAAGCCTATTTTGAATGCACAAATGATGCTAGCCATGCCATCAGCATGCCTGAAAGTATCTGTATATCCCTCCGGACTAACAACTATCTTGTTTGACTGTATTAATTTCTACTTTTGTCATATTAAAATCAGAGCATTTCCTAATACGTAACAGAGTAGTGCAAAAGATGTGATGTAAACTTAAAGTCAGCATGCTTCTTTAGTTAGGTCCTAACACTGATAATCATCTACCTCTGCTTCTCTCCTTGTTAAGCAGTATTTACATGTAGTTTATAAATAAGGGACAGTTTAATAATGATGACAGTATATGCAAACCATGTAACTAGCAAACACCACAATAAGTTAAATAGTAATTCAGCAGCTCCTCTTAATAACATATTTCCAATAATAATGGGAATATTGTAAATGTCAGTATGTATACTGATGATATATTGTTGCCTTGACTGCTTTTGTTCATCTCTACTCCTTGCTGTCCCCCCGCCCCCCAATACCCGTTAAACAGGGAGGGTTGAGTTTTCCAAGGGTCAAATGAAAGAATATATAATTTAAAAATATTAGTAATAACAGGCCAGAAGTCCAATGTATGCTCCCTAGAGGAAGAAAAATAGAAAGAAATGTAAAATTAATTAGAAACAATCACTTTAAGTATTGCACAATTAACTTGTGGTATTGCAGTGGTACAAAACTGTAACTCTCTGAATTGGCAGTATTCTAAGTATAGGTTCCATTTATGTGGTATATCAATAGTCGCACAAGACAAAATTAGATTAATAAAATATGCAATTAGACTCCAGGACACCTGGAAAATCTGAGCCTATATCTGAGAAAGAATTGAAGCCATATCTTTCTTGTATGTATAGGTCTTTTCTTCTGGATTATTTTTGTAACTCAAAGGCAGATGTTTTCAAATCAAAGCCATGCAGAAAACTTCATGAAAAGCAAAGGCTGCATTCACTCTCATCTGATAATCTGACAAGGAAGTCTCAGAATGCAATACATGCTCATTTGATCAAATAAACATTTATACTAAGATAAACCTCAAATTATTAGCACATCTGGAACTAACTGAAAGAAACAAGGAAATAACAACAAAGTAAAACTCTTGATGCAAATTCTAAGAGGAAAAATAGCCATCAAATTTCTACCTTTTAATTAAAAAAAAAAATGCCGCAAACCAAGTATTACAGTTTTCCATCTTCAGTTAGTCTGTATTAAAACACACCTGAGGGTTTTATCTGCACAGGAAGAACAAGTCCTAAATATGTTTTGGAAAGGTTTCCTGTAAGACTTCCCCTCAACCTTTGGAAGTCTTCCAGAAAGCAAGAAAAAGAGCATATGTTTGATTTACAGACAGAAACACCCAGAGAAGCAGTAGGTAGAAAGATGAGTTAAAAGGAAAAGGTGAGTTTCATTTCTGCATAAAGATTGTTTTGAAATTTCATCTTCAGTTAAAAGCCTTGACATAATTCCAAGACTTAATTTATTTTGCCTGGGAGACCATAATTTTTAAGACGACTGTTCCAGTTTTGAACTCAGCCAAAAGGAAAAATAAGTATTTTAAAAGAGAAATACTAATTGCCAAGAACATAGAATGACAAGTAATGATCTAGACTCATATAATAATCATCATTTGTAACAAACGTTCAATTCCATGTGACATGAGTTTACTTTTCAGCGGGTCTTCACAGTTTCAAATAGGAATCTTTTAAGGGTAAAGAATAAATATTACTAGTGAACTCCATTTTTTCAGTGTTTATGATCATACATGAAAGCTCAGATCATAAGGCATTTCAATCACATTGTGACATGACAGCATTATTTATTTGTATTATTTAACAACTTGATTCAAGGACATCTTTTTGAAAAGGTACATAACCTCAGTCATCAACATAATTATTGTAGATGACATATTACATTCGGTACAGTTCAGAAGGACCTGGAATTGACCTGTATTATGTGTATCATAAAATCATACATGTTTCAATTCTATTGTTGAGGGGGTGATCCATGCACTAACAAGTCCTCCTTGTAGCTCCCTTATATTAAGGAAGTCCCGGTATGAGAGATTAGACGTGTCCCTCTTGTTTGGAACATAAGTTTTGCAAACAGCAAAACAAAAATAAACTTTAGTAAAACCAAAATCTGGTTTCCACTGAAATCTTGACTATGACCCTAATCTTTAAAGGAACAGCATTAGATATCTAGTGCTCTGGCTTTTGGGCAGGATGGGGGTCTTCTGACAGATAATGATTTCCTTCCTCCAGTGTTGAACTGCCCTAAACTTTCTACAGGATGATTCTCCAGCTTGAACTTCCCTTTTAGCTAACTCTATTTGCTTTGCATCAAGAGACGTTGACAGTTCTGAGCTCTGGCTCCAGGAGTCCAGATGGTTCAATGAAAGTGAAGGATAATACCATATGACTTCGATTTTTTTTTTTGTCTTTTCCTCCAGTACAAAAAGGAACAGCTTAATGTCAGGTCAAATTTGTAATTCAAACTGAGAGGGACAGTAAACAAGAAGAGTTATGCTTTTACTCTGAAAAGGACAGTAAACAGGAAGAGAACAGGTCAGGTAAAAAATATATAAGATGCAAAAAGGCTAAACCTAACATATCTTTGAAACAAGTCATTTAACCCCATTGTTTATGTGGAAGGCCATTATTAGGAAAGGTGGACCAAATCTAAACCTGAATGTTTTCTGACTAGTAACCATGGACAGTCTAACACACTATTCTCAGGGATTCAGAGAATAAAATGAGGACCTTCACAGTAAAAATTAACCTTAATGAAAAAGAATTAATCTATTTCAAGCAACCATACTTTAAGCAGTGAAGCATTTGCAAGAGTTAGATATTCGGCTCCTTTTATTTTTCCACAAGCTCTGTGCTAATTCACTGCTGGCATCTGCTGGGCAAACCCTACAGAGATTATTAACCCCTGCAGAGGCAGAATTAATTTCTTGCTACAGATTTGCAGTTTTTAAGCTTTTACTTTCATCAGAGGGTCTCTAACCCTCCTGCTCTCACCCAGAGGAGAGGCCACACAGGACAGGATGATCATCTGGTGACAGGTCTGACATCTGGTCCAGGATTTCTGGATGGTTTAAGGCTCTAGATATAGCCTCATGAAGCAGAAATTCATTGCAGTGACATACAGGAAGAATGCAAAAGACCTATCTAATCCCTTATCTTATCACCCTGACCCTGCCACCTCCTTTTCTGCATCTTTCCATTGGATTGCCTTAACTACAAGCACTTCAGCAGCGAACTACACTCCAGCTACACCAAAACACATCTGGCCCTCTTCAGCAGTCACCAAGAACATATTCACTTAAGACATCACTCATTTCACTGATTTCAGACAAACTGTAAGGCCAGTTTATTAGCTCACATGATGCTCTGCTCCACAGAAATGGCCCAAGGTATCTCAGCAGCATTTTTCTCTTCGCAATGTGAGCTTTCCTCAGCAGCCGCAATCTTGAGAAACTAAAAGAAGAATAGGAAATAAGGGTCTCAGCTGCACGGCCTTGAAATCATTACTATAGGATATACGAACAAGCACACTTATGCCTGCTTTCAGAAAAAAGCACAAAGGCAACTTTGAGTGCGCTTTCCCACAGCTGCAAACAAATATCTCAGAAGAGGAAATAAAGATATTTTTGGAACATAGGAATGTAAAACTCTTCAGAAAAATAATTGCATTTTAGCTCATCTAGCCATTCCTATTTACGCAAGTGACTAACACTTCAGAACCTTGTACGGT